CCATGTTGTGAATAGCTTGCCCACTTTCGTCGCGGATTGTTTCACTAACTGTGGTTCGCCGCCTTCCCGTGTTGCGTATCAGTTGAAGCAGTCTGACTATTCCCTGATGCAGCTGCTACTTCCATTTCACTAGCTATTGTTGCTCACCAGTTCTCACGGTCTTTCTTGAGGATCTTCGTGAGCTGACGTTGTGGACGTCACCTACCTTTGGTTTGATCCCGGGCGTTCGGGGTTTGCCGCTTTTTCTCCATCAGTGCTACTGACTGATCAGATATCCAGTGCCTCGGGCGAGCTACCGGTTCAGATCTGCAAGCAACTCTCACTGCAGCGTGTATTACTCGTCTAATGTAATCCCGCAGTGCGTTTAGCCCTTGCCCTATTTCTGATTCAAAACGGGCACGAACGGCTGGGTCCATAAGCGATGATCTGCCAGTCGAGTTTGGTAGAATTTTCTGCGACCAGTTAGTCGGAGAGTGAACTGCGTCGAAACTAATGCTTGTTCAGGTTCGACGCAGGTGGTCCAATAGGACCTGCCAAGGGTTGCTTGTTGCTCTGTGGTCCATTTGAGTTGAATTTGAGCCCCACATTGCTGTCCATTGAGAGCTGTATAGGAACAGATGGTGATCTTGCGCAGTCCTATAGACGTTCGTCACCTTTATGTTTTCGCTGGCTGGGCAGAGCACAACGACCACCTAGACAAGCTTCTGATGCGCTCAGTTTTCCAACTTGAGCGTTAAAATCACCTGCGAGAACAAGTATATCGGAGCTTCGACTCAACCGAATGAGTTTGGTGAGTTAATCATAAAACTCGTCCTTTTGTGCTTCATAACTGCAGTGCGTCGATACATACGCTGAAATGATGAACAAACATCTTTNCACAATGACCGCCTAGACAAGCTTCTGATGCGCTCAGTTTTCCAACTTGAGCGTTAAAATCACCTGCGAGAACAAGTATATCGGAGCTTCGACTCAACCGAATGAGTTTGGTGAGTTAATCATAAAACTCGTCCTTTTGTGCGTTCGTGCATCTCAATTTCTTTGAAACCTTAGACCACTGAACTTCTCTATTTTCTTTTCGACTCCACCTTTAACTTTTCTTTCTTCTCCTATTCTTCATCCCAATGGGCAGCCAAAAGACAGCAACCAAAACCGGCGCACGAAAGTGCATGGTTAATGTTTGTTCNAGTGATAAACAAATACCTTTGGTATTGCATCCATTCCGGACGCTGACAGATCCTTGGAGCCGCATCGCACGTAAGCGATTGTTGACGGAGAGCCAATCGATTGGTGACTCGTCGGCTGTATTATTGAGTACAATGCCTACGCTACGCGGGCTTACTGAACGGGTTTCATCGTCCTGTTATATGCGCAGGAAGTACCTCGAAGACAAATCGGGTGCACTTAAGAGGATTCTAGTACTGGGATCGTGGATTCGCGTTCGCGATACGCAGCAGATTTCAATTCCCAAAGAGCACATTGTACGCGCCAGGCAAGCTTGTTGACTCACTTGCATCGGAGTCACCACGTCGAAGGCCCCCAAATTGAGAGGTTGATTAGGCTGCAGATCAGCAATGTATTTCGTGGTAAATGACCTTCGCCCGCTGAAAATAATCAGAGGAAGCTGCGGGATCGGTTCTCTAGAGATTCCATAAAGACGATACGCTGTCAACGTCGTGCTTTGGACCCTCTGATCCGAGGTAAGGTCACCGCCAACCAACTTTGGTGCTACATAGCTTTGCTGTTGTCCGGTTCAATACCACACCTAACCCAGCGGAGCCCAATGTGATTCACCACTCCAAGTGCCCGGGCTAAGGCTACCGGTTTCGATCACTGAACAGCAGTTCTTTGTGACTATGGGGCTTTCCCCGTCTGTTGTTCATCACACTAATGTGTGTAAGAAACAAAATAAGTACGAATCATAATGTTGAATCGCATGTTTATCTCCCTGTGCAATGGTGACTTACAGTGAGGAGCAGTAGTAAGGCCGTAATGATTGATATATTATGGGCATAAATGATTTTCTTTGGTCCCTTAAAAAAACTTGGGACAGATAGCTTCGATTTTTCGCAATTCGATAGCATGCGTATACTATCGGGTGTTATAACGCGTACCTCTTGATATCTTACCAATGATTAAACTGATTGTGTCCGTTACGCAACACTGGGTTCTCGTGAATAAAGTTTTCATACTTTCCACTCACTGTTAATCACCGCAGTGAGGTGCCTGATGGTTACGAACATTTTCGTCTGTACCTCCGTTCAGTTCTCTTGTCCGGTTCAAAAATGAAGTCGCATTCAGAATTCTATATTAAAAATACTTTTTTTTCCATCTCCACATTGAGTTTCCCATTAGCTGTGCATATCAACAATAAGAGAAATAGATAGTTCTATGGGATGAAACGCTCAAATATCTCTAATCTGCGTGTTTCCTAAAAAGCCTAAAATTGACTGAATCCAAAAGAAGATTGTCCAACTTGGAGTTACAAAAATGTTTCCGATTAAATGATCTTGATAATATGGGTTACCTCGCAAGCTTGTCTTGGGTGCTTCATAGACTGGCTAAATACAGCAGATGTTTTGAAAGACCAAACATGAGATGAGTGAAAATACATAGCGGAAAAGTCTAAAAACATTGGCCCTACCATGGCCATCCACTATGGATCTGATGACGTAACCTCCTTCCGTTAATTCATCCATTCATCCATCCCTTTCACCACCTTCCGCGGTTTGTATCACACAAAGTGGACTGATACAGAAACCTGTAATAGCACCATGGAACTGTCTTCTATTTTGTTTAGCTGCGATCGTCAGCGTAATGTAGAAACCTTTTTTGTCAGATAGATTGTCAGTGGAAAAATTCTTAGTGCCTCTACATTCATAGATACACGGGATTGTTGATTTCGATTTGTTGACTCTCATGACGGAAATAATATCGTGAAAAATTCGGTATTGGCTAACCGAACGAATCATGATGTGTTCTATGGAACTTTCTATCACTATTCTCCCCGTTTCAACCTTGTTTCAACAGGACAGTAATTTCCCCACTTTCCCAACTATTTGTGACCTTGACCTCCTTTCGAGTCACGTGACTGATTGCTAGGATGATGGGACAACGAAGTGGTTGAAGTGTACAACAAAGAAAATTTTCCAGTTCATTTTCATTTACTGGCGCACCGATGTTGTTATGTTGTTGTGTTTTTTCGGCACCATATTTCCTTTTGTGGTTGTAGAAACAAATGATTTCTTCTGGGAGGCGACGAGGCAAATTGACTGCGCTTAACGTGAATCTTGATGCATACTGATGTTTCTTTTCTAGTTAGGTTAAGAAAAGAAGTATATGATATACCCTTCTCGCACGGTCGTGATCCCGGTTGGTATTTTGAACTGTGTCAGCTGCTTTGGATTGTAGACAACTTCACTTTCTCTCGACTGTACTACTCCTATCCAAGGGAGACCATATATGACCCGCCAATTCAAGCTTTGGGGTTTAATTTGCCCGTTCGGATAACCCAGCAGTAGATCCTCATAACTGTGTAACTTAAAACCCCGGCTCATTACACAGTAGCGAGTAGTGAAAGACTTTTGACTGTGCGAATCTGTCACAGCAGAGCCTACTGGTGTATCACTAGTTACTTTCTCTAATTGTGAAATAAAGCGTGGATCGGTGATTGACAAGAATCCAGTGCAGTAAAGATGAGTCGCCTCGGATTGCTGATGGGTTGATTAATTCGCGAACGGTATAATTCAAATTAGAGCATAAGAGAGCTTAAAATACAACTCTCATCTACTTTTCGACCTGCTGCCAATGATCAAACTCAGGACTGAGTCCAGTCACGAGGACGAGAAGGCGGAAAGCTGTGTTTATTCACTTTCGGTACGTTTTCACTACAATAATTGATTGGGTTATGATTATAAACTGTTTCTAAATAGGTATCTAATTCTCATGTATTTTCTGCCGGTTGCCGTGACTGATGGCTTGATTAACCACTGGGTTTTGCAAATCACTTGGATGCTCATCTCTGTCTTAAATATACTTGATGTGAAACAGCTGTGTGAAACTGAATAAAATCTCTGTCGAAAAGGGAATGTTCACACTGTGTCTATCATCTGAAAGGTCCCAGGAGGATTCCTAAAGAGTAGACTACTCTCTTCCTGTACCTTGCAATTTCGTGGATGGCTAACTCTATTATCGTCTGGCTCATTGCCTCCCCTGTTCTACTGAATCTACGACCTGCTTCTTTCAATGATCGATTTTGTGTTGTTAATGTGTTGTCTACGCCTCCCGAACTGTTATTTTGTTTTCTCATTCATTTACAATTTTTCACTCCGTAAACGCACGATCAATAAATAAACTGGGCCTTATATGACTGTACCCCCTCTCTTTTACACCATCTTTATACGCTAGTGTTTTATTCCGTAGACTGCAGTTGTATTTATTTGTAATAAGCGAAGGACTTTCGGCCGGTGACGTTCATTCTTTGTGAGTTAGGTTGGCAGGTAGGGACCCGTTGTTCATCATGCACCATTTGATACAAGAATCTTCGAATGTACAAACAACATAAGCGTATTTCGTTGTGTTTACTGAGCATGCTTTGTGTTTGGAGCTGAAGGTGCCTTGTTCGTCAGACTCCGAATCACTCGAACGGAGGAAGAACTGATTTGAAATGCCATGTTCGGACGACCCTGTTCGATTTTTCACAAGCACCTGATATTACCGAAATGAATATGTTTTAATAGATCTTGCCTGTTCAATGAACTCGTTCATCAGCCAAAATTGACGCTTAAGCTATCACACCACTCGTCCACATCAATATTTCAGCACATTTCGTCACGTGAATTGTATCCAGCAAATTTACTCTTGGTGACGTGTTCTCGAAGACATGATTTGTAACGGCAAGCGAGTCTCTTTTGAGAAAGAAAAAGAATGAAGTACAAGTTAGATGCATTCCAAACTATCCTAGATTGATATGTAAAAACATTAACTTGGTTTCTTGGAGTTTCCAGTTTGTCTACAAGATATACAGATCATGTCTTGTGCACGCTGATGTGCGTAGTTCGCAACTTGTTCATTTTTTATCAGTTTTTCAGTCTCATTTTCGAACTAGAGATCGAGGTCAAGATATTCTAATGTGGTAATACTTAACATCGAGTGCGGTTTTACCGGGAAAATCTTAGTTACTAGGTACGGGTTTCGATTGGCATCAACGGCTGGGTTTTTTGTGCTCCTCTGTCGAACCATTTGATAATACGGTTTTGACTGAGCTTATTCTTTCTTCAAAAGATGAGATCACATTTATCTCTACGGTCATTTCTTTCACTGTTCGTAGCTTTCCCACTTCGGGATCAACAATGACCGGACACAATCCATTCATTGGTCCCGCACAAATGGAAAGCAGTGTGTCTCAACTAAATGCCTGGCTGTCCGGTCGAGCAATCCATGTACCCGGTGGTTGGGTTGATGCCTGTGTTAATTGGCTCGTCAGCGAACACGGAGGACTGGATGCATGTAGTCATTTGACTCGGGATGATTGGTGCCAACTTGTTTATGAGCAATGGCTTCATTCTGATCTCCGT